CCCCCACTATTTCTTACTAGTCTTGTCTTCTACTTTCAAACTTCTTGACAGACCTGATATCAAAATCACCCAGAAATGCAAAACAATTGCCTACCATTTTTTTGAGATTCACTGCAATTATCTTCACTGCCACAACAATCATCATCATCATTATTATCCACATCATCTTGGGGTTCTTGCTCTTTGGGCACATGTTCACTTTCGTCCTCAGTGTCCACATCACTCTCACCACAACCTTGACAGCCACCAATGCGACCAGTCTGCTTCCTGTTATCATCGCCATCTCCATCATCTCCTCCACTACTGCTACTGCTGCTAGAGTAGCTGATGCTTCCACTCTGAACCTTTACAACCCCTGGGGAGGGTGCTCCTCCATCTGGAGAGGTCTGACCTTTCTTATTTGGATTACTGGTTCCTTTCTGAGCGGAACCCGTATCTGAGGGTTCTCTTGTCAGTGCACCATGATCACATAGAGATGTTTTCGCTGCAACAGTTAGACTCTCTTCCTCTATACCAACCCAGTCATGCTCTTCAGGGACTTTAGGTGCTTTTCTAGTAAATGGCACATGCAAGTTGATGCTACCATTGTCAACAAAAAACAAAAAAAAATACAGTTACTATCTCATGCACTTACAAATTCAAATTCAGAAGTTATTCAGCACTCCAAGCCGTGAGGGCTTTGGTTGCCACGGCAAGAGGATGATATTGTTAAGGACTTAACTTTTGAAAAAGTCACAGTGTTCTGACCTGTATTTAGATTTAATTTGAACCCTTTAACTCCCATGAGTAACCAAGACATAATTTATCCCTAGAATATCAACATAGTATCAAGCAGACAAGTGAAAAGAATAAAGAAAAATGTCAATCAGCAGGAGCAGGGCTTGAAATTGCCACTCACTGATCGCCAATGCGACCAAAAATTGAGCTCTGGCTACTAACATTTCAGAACTGGTCACCAGCTGGCGACTCGTGTTTTGTCCAATAACTAAAGAAACCACGACACAACTTTTGCTATTAAATCTTTATACTAGGAAATCAATCAGGCATGGTAGCTAGTATACAACTCAACTTTCCATCCCCACTAAAATGATTTGTGAATATTACAAGATAATCGAAAAAATTGAATGTATTTCAACGCATCGATACCGCCTTCACGGCGCGCCATATTGTTTCAGGGGCTTCTCCTGAAACTGGGATCGCAAGCACCTTTCAACACCATATGCTGTTCATTTACCGCGAAAATGGCGGCAGATACAAATCAGTTGAACAATTTGGAGAAAGAAGTAGTGCTTTACAGCCAAAATATCACGTTCCCAGTTAGGTAATTTTCCTGGGTTCCAGCTATTATCTACATCCCTGTAAGTGTTAATCATGTTGTTTTCAATTGTTTCGCTCCTCAATTGTGACTTTTCTTGCATGCAAAGTAAGGTAAAAATCATGTTTTTGTGTAAGTTATAGATAAAATAAGTTGGGGACCAAAATTTACAATTTGGCAACCAAAATTTTTCCATTAGTCGCCAGCTGGCTCCCAAACAAAAAAGTTAATTTCAAGCCCTGAGGAGTTTCATTAAGGGCTGAGCACCAGGCAAATTCACTGATTGTGAGGACAGTTTTGCCCACCTGGTTTGATGATCTGGAGGAATGTTTATCTTTTAAAGAAGTTCAATTTAAAAAGTTCTGCCTGACTGTGAAAACCAGTTGCCCTCCTGCTGAAAACATTAATGAAACCCCTGAATCAGGGGATTATTGGTTGATCCAAAACCATATTCTCTGTAGTAACATCAAAAGAATTGCATGACAGAAAGTAAGGAGAATTGCTATTGAGATATTGGTTATTAAGAATAATTAATAATTAATATTTAATAATTAATATTTAATAATCAATTTTTCTCACAATTTTTTCTCATTAGAATTTTTTTCCTTAAATTGATTTGAATTACTTGATGAATTATTAGATGAAATTCATTAAATTTATTCATTATAAAACATTCTAATGAGGTTATTATGAATATTTAGTGTTTACGTTCTAAAAATCAAGGTGAAAAATACTCATTTAGATAGGATAATTATAATAAATATACTTGTCTGCCATTTTCATATAAAAAAAAATCTCCCTCTTTCTCCTTGGTCATGCAAGTATTAAGTCATAAGATGTACTATAAACTCAAAAAGATGATTGCCACATTATTTTCTTATCACCAAGACCTGAGCTTTGGTCAAGGTTATAGTATATCATATGGTATCGCAGAGAGTTTTCTTTTCCATTTGTACCAAATTTTGTTTTCTGCCTAGCAAATAATCTTATAGTTCTGGTAACCATTTCTTATCATTTAAATCTGACAAACGATAGATCAGAAAAACATTTAGCTTGAAGAGCTGAATGTAATGAATTTCTGTGATATCATGAAGCATCAAAACTCCATCCCAAACCTCAGACAAAATGGATGTTGCATGTTTTTCATGTGCTTAACGACCATCAGAAAATAAACACCGTTGCAGTCTGTAGTAGATCAATAAAACTGTGTAAAAATCTGAAATTTTGAAAATTTGTGTCACGACAATAGTGGCTTACAGGAAGGACTCACGGAAAAAGATCATACCGGAAATTTAATACATTTTCTTTCCTTGTTAAAAGTGATTTGCTAAACTATTTCTAATTAGGAAATTGCAGCAGAAATATATTTCCCTAGAAAATTAGAGACATAATATTAGACCACCAAAATACCAGCCATTTTGAAGAACGTTCATATTTGTTTTAAGAAAAATCGTGGGGGAAAATTACCGGGCTAAAAAAATCCCCGAAGCAAACATTTCTCTCAAGGATACCTTGCATTTTAGCAATCGCAGTTGCGTAACGTCTCTTAAAAAACAATTCTTCAAAGAGTAAAGAAATTATGTATACGAACAAAACAATATTCGAAGGTCTCAAGAGACAAGCTTTAAAACTGAAACTAAATCGCCAGCCTGCTTACTCTGTGTCGGCCAAATCCACTCGAATTCCTTTCTTCAGAGAATTCCCTCGTTCTCGAGTATCCCGGTGTGGAGGGAAGTCTACAAGGGACGAGAAGGACGATCAGAGACGTGGACTTAAATTACTGAGCACGAATAACAATTCAGTATTGAATGAGATCAGACCGGATAATTCCAAATTCGATTACATGGCAAGAAGACTGAAATTTAAACAAATACAGCTAACTAACTAACCCAATCCCTTGAAAAAGCCATCCAAGTCACTCTTCCCTGAGGCACCAATATCCACACTTTCAGCTCTACAGTCTCCTAGGATTGATATGATATCCTTCATTCGAAGCATGGACAATCTGTTTCGGATGTCGCTGGAATCCGGATTCAAAACAGGCGAGCTGTGATCGGCCGGCTTCCCTAGGTCATTTTCCCACGTCGAATCATCCTTTCCTTTAGAAGATTTTAGTGCTTCACTTTTACTTTCGCTTACGTTCGGCGTAGAAGAGTTTTTAGTGCAACAAACGAGAGAATCTGACGAGGTAGATGCAGTATTTTCCGCAGCATTCCTCTCTGTGATACTTCCTCTCTGAACGAGATAAAGAATAAACCCATGGATTGCAGCGTACACCAGAATACACAAAGAATGATAACCAAAGACTTGCGGATTCTGGTAAATGCAGAGTAAGGCCTTTAGAATGAAACGCACAACGTTCTTTGCCGCAGTTGAGTTCACACGTCCACCTTGCAAGGCGTCCATGTTGAAAATGGTTGAAAAATTAGCTCTAAAGAAGCTCAAGCTATTTTGATCATGTGACCACGAACGCCGTCCCATGAAGGGGGGAATCCCTTGACCTCACGACAAGTTTAACGTACCCTTTGAAGTCTTCAAAAAAGTACGTTTGATGTTCCTCATTGTATTTTAAATCAGGAGCTGTTGGATGAAGTTTGCTGTCAAAAAAAAAAAAAAAAAATGGATAGAGCGCTGGACTGTTGTGCGGGAGGTCGAGGGTTCGAGCCCCGGCCGGACCAACACTCAGGGTCTTAAAAATAATTGAGAAGAATTTGCTACCTTTCTATAACATCAAGAAATGGTTAGATATTCTAGTCTTCTCGGATAGGGACGAATAAATGGAGGTCCCGTCTCCTGCAGGGTTGGGGTAGGAGACGTTAATTTCCCACACACGAGATTACTGTGTGATGGATGTCCTCCCCTGGGGTGGGATGGGTGGGATATAGGGCGCACTTAATAAGGAGCCTCGCTCTGTTGTGCGACCCTCACCACACTCTGGTGAAAGTGATTAAATCAACTGATTAGCTAACTACATGCACCGAACCAAAGATATGGATCACAGGAAACCCAGGCTAATTCTGCATATTAAGTATTTTTTCTTCGTTTTACCTCGGCATAAAGTTTTGCTAGAGGTATTCTGTTACATAATATAACAACCACGTCAATGTAAAACGTGACTCGAGACGGTCATGTTTTGTATCTTTTTAAAGGTTCTGTAATTGTTTGTTTGTTTGGTTTTTTTTTTGCAACTGGCTTACTGTAAAGTTTACGTGCGAGGATCAATTTGCCTTGTATCATTTATAAATTCGTGATCAACTTACTTTCGATCGCAGATAGCAAAGGAACCGCTAAACGTAGCATCATCACCCAAATACGTGTTTCATAGTTCATTAAGGCTATGGGTCTTAGATAAAATGGAATTTATACGGTTTTTATGACTTCAAATAGACACATAAATGCGAAAAGTTCGCCTTAAATGTCAAATAAGGTCTAGCACCTAGTTCAGTGCAAGTTTATTCGAGAGGTTGCTCGTATGCGTTCCATTGATTTTATTTTCCTAGAAAAGAAAATTGAATGAAGTATGCGTTCCATTGATTTTATTTTCCGAGAAAAGTAAATTGAATGAATTATACTTCACGACTGTTGACCCAAAGGCTGAGCATGATTTGTTATAATTGCCACTGATCTGTGGCTGAAATCGAAAAAGCTCGCGTGATCTGCGACATACGGTTCGCGTCGTTCGCGTGACACGTAATTAAAAATAAGAGTCCTTCGTTAGCGATGAAAAGCTACAATTTTATTCGGTTTGATCAAGTGGCCACCCCAACGTACGACGGCGCGGTGAACGATGGCTAAGGACGTCTTCATCAACACAACTCCGGACTTTAGAAAAATAAATCAATTTAATGTCAAGTTCACTAGGTTAGAGTTAATATATGACATTTCCCAACACTCCTGGCAATAGGGATTTCTTCTGGAATGGAATATTCTAAATCCTTGTCTCTCAAGCCACTTTGCTATGCTGTAATACTGCCTCATCATTAAATTTATTCATTATAAAACATTCTAATGAGGTTATTATGAATATTTAGTGTTTACGTTCTAAAAATCAAGGTGAAAAATACTCATTTAG